CTGGAGTTTTAGACTTAGATTCCCAAGATCCCTTCGATCCAGTGTTCAGTGAGTACACATTTTGTATGCAGTTTGCACTGGGGAGGCAGTAGTAGCAGAGGGGTAGTCTTGGCCCCCATGGAGCTCACAGTTTAACAGGCAGGGTAGGTCTCAAGGAAGGTCCCCGGGAACACATCTACGGGTAGGAGTTGGGAAGCTCTTCATGGAAGGAAAGATACTATGGGATAGCATAACAGGAGAACTGTCCTGGCAGTAATGTGTAGCCCGAATGATAAGCAGGTGATAGCCAGGCGCACGGGGCAGGGACCTTTCCAGAGAGGGGGCAAACCCCCAGTGGGCCCTTTGTAGGAAGTGAGTATGCCCTGTAAGAGGAACTTAAGGGCGGTCAGTGCGGCTGGCGAACAGCAGACCAGGGGACAGGGGTCAAAACATAAGGCAGGAGGTAGGCAGAGGCTAGATTTCGAAGACCTTTCAGACCTTCCTACATGCCCTGCATTCTCTCTGATCCTTGTGAATGGAGGCACCTCCCTGTTTCCTGCTGGGCCCCGGTGTGCAGAGCAGTCCCTGAAACTTGAGAGACCCTAATAAATGTGGAACAAGTGAGATCTCGTACCTCCAGGGCCCTCCTGAGTGCCCAGAGCCCAGGATCTGCTATTTTTAAAAGTTGATTAATCATTTCCAGGGGTGCCTGGGTAGCTTAGTCAGTTAAGCAACCAACTCTTGATTTCCGCTCAGGTCATGATCTCACGGTTGGCGAGTTTGAGTCCCGCACTGTCAGTGCGGAGCCTGGTTGAAATTCTTTCTCTCCCCGTCTTTCTTTGCCCCTTCAGCACTCTCTCTCAAAATAAATTTCAAAAAGCTTTAAAAAAAGTTAATTAAGTATTTTCATATAATATCAGCTGAGATTGATTCATGGATATTTTGGGGGAGATACTTGTTTAAAGAAACTGTGACCCTGTCCCAGTTTGAAACATGACATCCACTCACATACACATACAGACGCACCCGTGGGCACGAGAGAGCATCCACTCTGGCGGTAAAAGGGCAGAACTGACTGGTCTCAGGTTATACCAGGGATCAAGAGCATGGGCTTTGGATTGATCCATTGGGCAGGTGTTTACCAAGTGCAAAGCACTAAGCTGGGAACCTCCCCGTTGGCTACAAGTGGTCTTGGCCCCTTCCAGCTTCCTAACTGTGGACATGTGGGACAGGTTCCTTAACCTCCCTGAGGGCCCATTTCTTTATTTACAAGATGGGGGTAATACTACTTGTCTCCTAGAGGTCTCATGCGGTTAAAATCACACACACACACACACACACACACACACACACACACACACACACACTATTTAGGGCGTAGCTGATGATCAACAAATATGATCGATAAATATTACTCATTCTCCTTCCCATCTTCTTATCTTTGGGATCAGTTGCCTTGCAGTTTTTGTTTGTTTTTGTTTTTGTTTTTGTTTTTCTACACACACACGTACACACAAGCTATGAGAATCAGAATTCACTTTCTGGCAATTGAATTTAACCAGCACCCCGCCGACCTCCCGCGTCCCTTTTGCAGGTGGGTGGATTCTGAAGCAGCCGTCTGGGTTCTGTCTGCGGTTCTGGACCCAGGGGAACTTCCTGGCGCCTGCTCTTCCCATCTGAGTTTTTGTACCTCCCGAGAGAGCCCAGGAGATGTGAAAGCCCTGGGCGCCCTCTGCTGGCAACGGCCACGCAGGACTGTGGCCATCCCCAGGCGGTGGCGGCAAAGGGGCCCCTTTCTGAGGGACAGACCTTGGTCTTACCATCCCCTGCTTCGCCCCTGCCTCCCTCCCTCCCAGCCTTCACACTGGCCTTCGATCTCCCACCCCTGCATCTTCCCCTTCTTCCTCACGTGCTTCCTCAACATCCTCCCTGCTTCCCCAAAGCTTTGGGAGAAAACCTTCCTCTAGGAACACAGAGCATATGAGCCCCCCCACCTCCACCCCACCATCCCGAGGCTGCCTTTCATTGTCCCTGTGGGGTCAGATCTACCCACTGAGTGAAGCCTGGCTTACACAGAAGGCAGAGGGATGTGGAGTGAAGAGGGTGTCTCTGTCTCTGTCTCTAAAAGCAGTGCCAGAGAAGATGGAGACCCTGGATGGTAAAGTGAGAAAACATAAGCTTGCTTTCAGATCCCTCTTCTCCAGTGCACTCTGTGTAAGTTCTGGAAGGTACTGCACGCCTCAGAGCCTCTACTTCTGCATTGGCTGAGTGAGCACCCAGCTCATGGCGATGCAGTGAAGATGGGTGAGGTCACATGGAGACCAGAGCAGCTGGTTCGGTCAAGTCGTAACGAGCAGCACGCTCCTCTTGGCCGTGGCCTGTCTGGGCTCAGTGTACCCAGGGGCGCTACTGCTCTGCTGGCTTTGACAGTTCCCTGCACCTGAGCAGAAGTGAGGACTGGGAGCCTTGGGGCCAGACCACCTGAGATCTCCAACTGTGTTGTGCTTCATCTGTTCAGCCTCTGAAGTGAGGGTCCTAACAGCACCGACCTCATAGGGTTGGGAGAAGATAAATGTACCTGGAACCGTGCCTGGTGCGTGGTAGGTGCTCAATAAAAGGTTATTCTTATTGTCTATTGCTGTTTCTCATTAAGGCAGATTGAACAGCTTTTCTGACCCTCACTTTACAGATGGGAAATCTGAAGTTTGAGCGGTTTGCTCTAGGTTAAGCAGTGAGGTGTGGTGTGGGCAGAACTGGAGCCCAGTCTCCAGAGCCGCTGGCATCTTCTCACTTGTGTCCATACCTACGCTTGAAACAGGTGCTTGGGTCCTGTGGAGATGGGTCCCAGAAGCCCACCCAGAATTCCTGATCACTGGGCCCCAGTGGCTGCTCCACATGGCTCATTTGTCGTCTCCCCGACTAGGCTGGGAAGATCTAGAAAAGTGGGGGAGAATCCGATCTCTCTAAATCTCTCGGCCCAGCTCAGGGCTCCACCCAGAGTGTGAGCTCAGCTGACCTGGGCATGCAGACACCCTCCACCCTGCCGTATCTTTGTGGGGAGATCTGTATCACCACAGGCCACCTCACAAGGGACACAGAAGGAAACTTAGGCCCTCAGACCCTGGCGAGTGTTAACGTGCCCCTTTAGGGGCACTCCCATCGCCCCAGAAGTCCCTCTTTTTCTATTCGCATGGCTGTTCCACACACCCAGGCTTTCAAACAGATCATACGCCAACCACAAACACCTAGGTGGAAGCCACGATCACGGCACATGCATAGACTTAAACAAGTATAGCTCCCGAGACAGACAGGGGTACGCCCACACAGGCACACAAAATAGCATGCCTCAGTGCACCAGCGTGGACCTAGAAACTCATTGTCATGCACACACGTGCTCAGCAGACACTCCCAGGCCCAGCTGCCAACTTTCCCAAGTGTGCAATCAACAGACCTGGATTCAAACCCCAACACCCACCACCTCTTCACTCTGCACCCCGTGTTTTGATCATCTGGGAAAAGAATGTAATCATAACTGTCTTGTGGGGTTGCTGTGAACGTTAAGTGATAAAATGTATGTAAAGCACTTAGCCAGACCCTAGCAAATTCTGAGGATTGGACACAATGTGAGAGATGATGATGACGAAGATACTGGCAATGCTGAGTATGTTGAAAAAGGGGCTAACGTCTCTTACCCTGGACTCCTCAGGGGTCAAGATACAGGGGAGGGGTTCCCTACATGAATGAATCGTTGGGGGGGCTTCACAGGTGCCGAGGGTGAGGTGCGCAGCGGGGACAGGGAGTACAGACAGGAAGTGACCCAGCCCTGCCCCCACGTTTGTACAGCTGCTTTTGAACTGCTCAAGAGATCGAGGCTTCAAAGGCATTGCCTTGGCATCCCTATCTTTGTTTTCCTCTTCCTGATTTTCATTTCAAAGTTGCCCTTTCCAGGGGGCACAGTGAAGTGATAAACACCCTCCTCCTTTTCTTCTTCTCCTCCCCCTCCTCCTCCTTCTCCTCTCCAGATTGTGATTAGTGTCTCAGATTCTGAGCTTTTCTGAATACGGAGGGACCTCAAATGTCAGATTTTAATACCATCCGTGCCAAGTGGCTGTCAGATTCCCTGCTTGCACACTCTCAAGAACAGGAAGCTCACCACCTGGCTTGGCAAGCTGTTCTAGTGTTAGGCAGGTCTGTTGCATGAAAGATTGAAGGTCCCCCCCCATGGGATGCACTGTTAGTACCCCGCCTGCCCAAAAGACTACCTCTGTTCAGCGTTCAGTCCCCCAAGGTCTGTCTTCTGTTCCCTGCAATGGCCCTGCAAGGAAGGAATAGAGGCATCTGATGAAACCAGGGCAGGAGAAAGAGCATGAGCCTGGAATTGGGTGGGGAGAGTGGGGAGGGGTGGGTCTGGGAGCAAGTTGCTCCCCTTCCCTAGGCCTCAGTTTCCCCATCTGTAAAAGGAGGCATGTGATCCAAAAGATGCCTTAGGACACTTCCACTTGAGCACACTCACACCCATTCTTTGCAGCCTTCCTTTCTCCAGCTCAACCCTCCCCCTGTTCCTCCAAGCACTCCAGGCTGTCCCCAGTTCCCTCACGTTCTAGCTCACCACTGTCATTGCTTATGCAAGGAGATGTTTAGCAGCCAAATACACAGTTTGTAGAGCCTCAGACGGTGTCTTAAGCAATTGGCAGCTTTATCCCATTAAGTGTTTACAACAACCCTGAGATCTCACTTCATAGCAAGGAAACTGAGGTTCTGGGTGGAACAGTAGCTTCCTCGGGATTGTGCATCTAGTGGATGGTGGACCAGGACTCGAGCCCTAGCCTGCAGGAGTCTAGAGCCTGTGATTAGCACCGCGTGCTCTGAGCCGGGACTCGGGGAGCCAGAGGCGAAGGGCAAGGACAGCCACCCACTCGAGAGTCTCTCTGATCTGACTATAAGAGCCCGGCCCTCCTACCCTGCAGCCCCCAGCAGCCTCCACGTTCTCATTCTGGCGGTCTCTCTGCTCCTCTCCACAGGGAGAACAACTTCATCAAGGACTTCCCTCAGCTGGCCGATGGGCTGTTGGTGATCCCACTGCCAGTGGAGGAGCAGTGCCGGGGGGTCCTCTCCGAGCCCCTCCCAGACCTCCAGCTGCTCACTGGTAAGCCGCACATGCCACACCCCTCCCCGCCGCTCTGACCGCACACCTGCTCTCTGGGTGCCTGTCAGTCCTCAGCACGTCCAAGACGGGCCTCCTCCTTCATGAGAGACAGAGTGCAAAAGGGACCTGCCATTTGTGTGTGTGGGGGGGGGGAGGGGGAGGGGAGGCTTCTGCTATGGTCTGTGCAGAGCTAGGGGGATTCCCTGAGACTCCAGCCTCTGATCTGGGCCAAGACGTACTCTCTTAGCAAATTTCAAGTATGCTAACTCTAGGCACCGTGCTGTGCCTTCGATCCGCAGAATTTATTCATCCCACATAACTGAACCTTTGTACCTTTGACCAGCGTCTCTCCATTTCCCCCTGACCCTCAACCATTCTACTCTCTGCTTTTATGAGTTCGGCTTTTTCAGATTCTACATAAAAGCGAGATCGTGCAGTATTTGTCTTTCTGCGTCTAGCTTATTTCACTAGGTTTATTTTTAAATCGTGCTAAAGTAACATCACTGGCCCTCTCTACCAGGAGTCTCCCTCACTTGAAAGCATTTGTTACACAACTTGATTTTGAATATGGGCGCTGAGCCATCCTGTGGGGTGGGTATTATTTTCCCCATTATACAGATGAAGAATCTAGACTCAGAGAGGTGATGGGATCAGCCCAAGGTCACAGAGCACGCCTACCAGGATGAGAACCAGGTGCCACCGCCCTGGGTCTTCTGCCCTATTCACTCTGCTCTGCAGCTCCCCAACCCCCACCCCTCCCTTTCCTTGTCCCCCTCTTCTGCAGGCTCTCCTGGGACTCTGTATCTTCTGTCCCACCCAGGATGCCCTTCTGCTCCCCCTCATCTTCTCCCAGGTCCTCTCCTACCCTTTTTGGAGGGACTTTCCTAATATGTACAGGCCCTGGTTCTGCTTTTGTGATACAGTGGTTGGGGATCTCAACCACTGCCCGCAGAGAATTGTCATCCTCACAGGTGATTGCACCCTCTCACTGAGAAGGAAACTGTCCCCCAAGGAAGACCACGCAGTGTGGCCAACTTTGGTTCCTAGCCCCCTCTACCACGTGCAAGCCCTTGGAACCTCCACAGCCTTTCCAATAAAGTGGAATGGACGGAGCAGAGGACCCAAGTCATGTGTGCTTCAGGTCTCCAGGGGCCATACACTGCGCACGTCTTCATCTCTGTAACCCTGCAAGGGTCATTGTCCCCTTTCAAGGGCACAGGATTTCTTTCTGATTAGAGAACTCATTTAACTGGTCCAAGGCCACATGACTAGTCCACAGTCGAGTCAGGATTTAAGCCCAGTGGGTGTTGACTCCAAAGCTGATGCCGTATCCACTATCCTACATCACCTTCCTGACCTGTCCTACTTCAAAAAGAGCCCAGATGTAGATCAGATGAAATCATATATCTAAAAATGCTTTGTAAAATCTGTCTAAAAACTGCTGTGCCTTCCTTAATTTTAGATTTTCATAAGATCATAGGATGTCAGAGCTGACCGAGACTGTCAGGGGCATCTCGTCTAGTCCTCCTTACCAATGAAGAGATCAGATCTGTAATATCTCCACTGAGTAATGATCCCTCTTGGATAGTCTCAGTCACAGGGAGTTCACCACCCCTTAAAGCAGCATCACCATGGTCTGTGGGGAGGGGCTGTTCTTTAATGGAAAAGCACAGGCATTGACCTGTGTGTCCTTGGGCGTTTCCCTCTCTGAGCCTCAGTCTCTTCTTCTGAGATATGGGGTGTAAGAACTATTCTTCAGCACCGTGGTGAGTACTGGAGATGGTAGGTGTAAAATGCTTGGTGCATTGTGCTTCTTTATTAGTGGTACAAATTATTAGGATTGTTTGTTTTGACATGAGGATCTCTGGAGGCATCCTAATAAGGGAACTGTTATATTTCTAGAGTTAACAACAACAACAACAAAACTTACCAGGAAAAAGCCCATCTTTTGGTGGGGATCTAGGATAGAGTCAGATAAAATGGAGGTCAAGGATGAGTAAGGACCAAGGATGAGCCATACCCTTATGATTGGGTATAGGATGCAAGTGAGCAAGTGAGCCAGTAAGTAAGTGTTTGTTGAGAGCCTGTTATGGTCCAGGCTCTGTTCTTGGCTCTGCAGGAGTGCAGATAATAAAGACCATGGCCTTGGGGTGCCTGGGTGGCTTAGTCGGTTATGCACCTGACTCTTGTTTCCACTCAGGTCATGATCTCCAGGTTTGGGAGTTGGAGCCCTGCATCAGGCTCTGTGCTGACAGCGCAGAGCCTGCTTGGGATTCTCTCTCTCTTTCTCTCTATCTCTCTCTCTCTCTTTCAAAATAAATAAATAAACATTAAAAAAAACCAAAACATCTCCTCGACCTCAAGAAGCTAACACTCCAGGGGCGCCTGGGTGGCGCAGTCGGTTAAGCGTCCGACTTCAGCCAGGTCACGATCTCGCGGTCCGTGAGTTCGAGCCCCACGTCAGGCTCTGGGCTGATGGCTCAGAGCCTGGAGCCTGTTTCCGATTCTGTGTCTCCCTCTCTCTCTGCCCTCCCCCGTTCATGCTCTGTCTCTCTCTGTCCCAAAAATAAATTAAAAAAAAAGTTGAAAAAAAAATTAAAAAAAAAAAAAAAAAAGAAGCTAACACTCCACTAGAGGAGCTTTTATTCCAGGCTGGACTCCAGGAAGGACCAGAGATGGAGGGAAGTGAAGGGCAGAGCGATAATAACGACTATGGGGAGGTCCAACAATGTGGGGAGAGGCAAAAATGATGGCTTTATAAGTTTCATGATAATCAAAAGATGTAGCATTTGTTTTCCCTTTGGACGCCATGTCATCCAGTGAATGAACTGTGTCCACAACCTGCATTCAGATGCTTTGCCTCCCTCTCTTGAAGATGGGCCCCCGTCGCCAATCCCCACTCCAAGCCTGTTCTGAATCAGGATGGGCACAAACAGATGGGGCAGAGGCTACCAGGATGCAGGTGCCTAGTCTTCCTGTGCAGACTGTTTGCTCCTGCCTGACTCAAAACACAGCCTCTCCTTCATCCCCCACCCCCACCCCCACCCATTCTCCTTCTCTTCGCAGCCTCTCCAGAGGAAGGACAGGACAGGCAGAGCAGATAAACAGAGAGGACATATTTATCACAAAACAACCCCGCTCCAGTAGACATATATTTGGAGATCATGAATATTTTACTTTAAAATGAAAGCTTCGGAAAAAAAATTATGTTATTCCTGAAAAGGCTAAGGAGGAAAAAAAAAAAAAAGTTGACAGTAATGGACAACTTTAATACTGCAGTAATGTCCAGGAAGAAATCATTGGTTCCAATGAGATTCTCATTTTAATCTTGGTATCAGATATCTCTTTAAGTGCCTCCTCACCAGGGGACAAGAGAAAAGGACAGAAAATGTGCCTGCCATTTGCAGAGGATACATAACAACAATAATATTAACTGCTGATGTGACTAGCATTTCTTTTCCATGTATTTTTTTCCTGATTAAAAAATAAGAGAGTTTTCAGTGCTAAGAGCAGAAAGTTTAGAAAATGCAAATAGATATAAATCAGAATACAAGAATCGTTTATACACCCACCACCTAGAGTTAACCATTTGCTAACAGTGTGCTGGTTTCATCTTTGTTTATTCTTTGTCTATACCTGTGTTTTCCAAAATGCATTCTATGGAACATGAGTTCCAGTGAACCCTCTACGAAAATGGGATTCCTTGGTCAAAAAAGTTTGCAAAATGCTACCTTAAGTAGTACAGTACACACACTGCTACCTTCCTAGAGCTCTAGAATGCATGTTAATTTAGTCAAGGTGCCAAGAAATTATACAGATTAAAAAAAATTTTTTTTAATGCTTATTTAGTTTTTAGAGAGAGACAGAGTGTGAGTGGGGGAGGGGCAGAGATAGAGGGAGGCACAGAATCCAAAGCAGGCTCCAGGCTCCGAGCTGTCAGCACAGAGCCCGATGTGGGGCTCTAACTCACCAACCTTGAGGTCATGACCTGAGCCAAAGTCGGTCTCTTCACCGACTGAGCTGCCCAAGTGCCCCAGAAATTACCCAGAGTTTTTAAAATCTTGCTTAATTTCATTTAGTTCGGTCTTACTTGAAATGTGAGCCTTTATGTATGTGCATGTGTGTCTTATGTGATACCGATGTTCACCCCATGTTTCCATGTTAGAAAACAGTGGTCCAAACAGGGGTCAGCCAACAGAAAGATCCAGATAGTGAATGTGCTAGGCTCTACAGGGAGTTCCGTGGCACCTGCTGAGAACAGCTGTCATCCTGTGAAAGCAGCCATAGGTGATACGCAGAGGACGGGCTGTGGTCACTGACCCTGTGCCTGCACGTACAGCATTGACAGGTTCCCACAGGACTCCACTTCTGTTATCTTATTTGAGTCTCCCGAGGCATCTGTGAAGTAAGGTCGGCATAGGTAGCCGTAGTATCAGTGGGGAAACCGAGGCACTGAGATGTCTAATTTCCCATGGCAAGGTGCCAGCAGGATTACGTGGAATCATAAATCTGCTTTTGCTTGCTTATAAGCTGTTGGGCAGAGAAAAAGCAGGATTGGGGTTGAGATCAGAGGCCAGGAAGAGGCCTGGAGGCAGATCCAGATGAGAGCCCCAGTGAGAGCCCGCACGCCAAGGCGAGCATCTGCCTATTTAGAAGGGGCCATTACACAGCAGGGCTGCAGGCTGGGGGTTTTGGTGAGTGTTCTCTAAGTGCTGACCTCCCCTTCTTATTCTGTCCCCCAGGAGACATCAGGTATGACGAAGCCATGGGTTACCCTATGGTGCAGCAGTGGCGGGTCCGAAGCAACCTGTACCGCGTGAAGCTCAGCACCATCACCCTCTCAGCAGGTGAGGACCACCTCTCAGGCAGCCAGGGGGCTTGGTGCAATTCAGCACGTGTGCCCAAGGGCTTAGGGGGCAGGGGGCTTGGTGCAATTCAGCACATGTGCCCAACGGCTTAGGGGGTGCCAGGCCCTGGGCTGGCACTGGGGATGCTGAGGGAATGAGGCCATGCCCTCCCTGCCATGGAGGAGCCCACAGGGAGGGAGGGCAGACAAGCAGACAGACAGTGAGACCCTTACGTTTCAGTCGGTTCAATGCAACAGTGGGGCAGCAGTGCCCCAGAGGAGGGAGCTGTCTGCTCTGAGGAGTCCGAGAGGCTTCCTGGAGGAAGGGGTATCATAGCAGTGTGAGGAAGGGTGAGTGGGAGATGGGGTAAATGACAATCTAAGTCACAATTATGTTCTGTGTATGTCAGGCCTGTGGATTATAAATTCTTCTGAGGCACTGGTTCCTCTGGTCTCTCCTGGATGATTTCCTTTCCTGTCCAACTCCTAGACAGCAATAACACATACCCCTGCAACACATGGGCACATATACTGCCCATGCTCTACCTGCACAAACCCTGTGTTTCAGTTGATGAGGCACAGTTTATAGTTCTCAAAATGGGCCATGTTCTTTCATGCCTCTGTGCCTTTGCACATGCTGTTCCCTCTGTCTGGATCTCCTGGCCCAGGGAACACATCATGCAGTGCTGCAAGACCCCTCCTGTGTTCTCCATTCCCCTCAGAGTAACTCCGGATATTCCCTGTGAGCACCTGTATTAAAGCACTAACAAGTGCTAGATGCATATCTGAGTCTTGTCTGTCTTCTCCCCTGACCCAAGAACTGTGGGTAGGGTGTAGGCCCTGTTCTTTCCTGTATCCTCTATTGTATTCTCTGTAACTAACAGAGAATCAACACATTGTTGGCACTCTTGTTTGATAAAGGAATTAAAAAAAAAAAGGAAAACTGGAAAATTCAGAGTGAATGGAAGTTTCTGGAAAGATGGGGTTTTCTACCCCGGCTGTTACTCATAACGCTGCCACTGAATGATTGTCCCTGTGTCTCCTACTTACTGCCACATCTTTTCTTATCTTTTTCAATATCACGTTGTTCACGAGCAACACGGAACTCTTTTAGTCTAGGAATCAGGGGACTTTCCCATCTGGGAAGTACAAATAGTGATTATTGCTGATGTTGGCTAAGTCCTTTCTAATGATTTTTTTTTTTTTTTTATCTTAGGACTTCTATCAGTCCTGCAAGGAAGGCATTATTTATCCCATTTTTTTCCAGATGAGGAAACTGAGGGTCAGAGAGGTTAAGTAACTTGCCCAAGGTCACACTAGTAAGTGGCCGAACAGGAGCAGAGCAGGGATTTGATTACAGTTTTGTCTGCCTGGATAAAGAGCCACAGGTCATCTCCATGGTGTTGTTATTTATTATTTAAGAGAAATGATCTCATCATTAACACTGCTGCATTAATTACCCAGTTGTATGAGTGAACAGATTGATGGAGAGGGGTTGTCCTAATCAAACAGCCATTCTTTTGAGGCATGTTTCTGTTTTCCCTACCACACACACTCTTGCACGGCACTTGTGAATGAGACTGCGATGTTTGTGTTAAAACTACAAAGGTGTATCAGCTTTAATTAATCAATAATGATGCTCCTGGGAACCCCTTGTAAATCAAGTGTTGGCAAACTGCAGCTCATTTCTACTGTTGGAGAAGGGCTTGCTTGCTGTTTTACATTGTACTTTCATGAGGCACAGAATCCACTGCTCTTGGAAGAATGGTGGTTGGTGTCCCCGCCTTGTCCCAGGACCTGTGCCCTGTACCGGGGTGGGTGGGGCGGGGGTGGGGAAGGACGCGTTTCCAGACTCAAAGACGAGTGGACTAGCTTCTGTGGTCACGGTGGCGCCCCCTGGCGGTGCAGAGTGTAGGTGCGGCTGGCCAGGACTGTGTGAATGGTTTCTTGGGAGGGTGGGGGTGACGGCCACTTCGTGCACAGGGAGGACATAGGGAAGAAGTGGGGAGGCCATTCCAGGTGGGTGGTGGTGTGAATGTGTATGGGTGTTGTGTGTCGGGGGATGTACGTGAAGAAAGGATGGTGGAGATCTCAGGTCACATTTAGGAGAAATCAGAAGGCTGATTTGGCTGGATGTAAAGCCTGGTGTAGGTGGCTCATGGGAGATGCCCTTGGAGGCCTGGAATACCAGGTAAGGTCACTGGACTGGTCATCTAGTAGCAGGAAGGAGCCCACGCAGGACTTAAGGCTCTTGGAAGCACAGCTTGGTGACCTGCCTGCCAGGGGAAGGTTGGGGGGGGGGTGGGGACAGCAGTTACTGAGTGATTGCTGTGCAGGCACCATGCTGGGCACTGAGGACCTAGGTCTCTTTGGCACAGGACTAAGGACAGTAGAGCAGCAAAGGAAGCCCTTGGCCATGTCAGGAGAGAGAACATACCACTGTTTTGGGAAGGCAAAGGCAGAGGCAGAAGGGAAAGTAGTGTTATAGGAAGCTAAGCCAGGGATCAAATCTTAGCATGCAGAGTATCTGCTGAGCCTAGGCCAGTGCAGCCCCGGGGCTCCAGCCATGGAGAGTTCAAGCCCTGGGTGACTGGATGCCGCGGGAAGTGCATATGCTTTGCAGTGAGAGCAGAAGGGACTGGGAATCCTAGCTCCTCTGGCTGGAAGACCAAGGAAATGATTTATAGTCTGAGATTTGACTTGCTCACGTACACAGCGGGGGGTGCCCTGTTGGGGCCTAAACTAAATTGGACAAAGTGGGCAAAACAGTGAGCAGTGTGCTTGGTACACATTAGTTGCTCGGGACAGACATCCACTTTGATTTCCTGATCATGACTTTCAGGTCCCGTGGTCTAGGTCGCCAGGCTTTTGGCCTTACTCTGCTGTTGTTCCCCTCTCAGTTGTGGGTCTACCAGAGGGACCGACCTTTGCCGTGTGAGCAAAAGGGAACTTGTTGCGTATGTTCAGACCAGTGCAGCCAGCAGGCTGATGCGGTGGTGAGGGATAAGGCACCAAACCTGGCTGGAAAGAGCCCCCTGCCACTTACAGTTTGGCAGCCATTGGCCTCCCAAATCTGACCACCTCCCCCTGCTCCTCCTCTGTCCAGGCTTCACCAACGTCCTCAAGATCCTGACCAGGGAGAGCAGCCGGGAGGAGCTGCTCTCCTTCATCCAGCACTACGGCTCCCACTACATCGCAGAGGCCCTCTATGGCTCCGAGCTCACCTGTATCATTCACTTCCCCAGCAAGAAGGTCCAGCAGCAGCTGTGGCTCCAGTATCAGAAAGGTAAGCCTGCAAGTGCTTGCTGAAGTTGGCAGCTGGGTGGAGTGTGGAGGTAAGGCTCCTACAGGCTAAATCCTGGCTCTGTCTTGTACAGGCTGTGTGCCCTTAGGTGGTCCCCGCCCCTCTCTGGGCTTCCTTGTACCACTGACCCTATAAGGGGCCATATGATGATATCTCAGGATTCTTCCAGTTCAGGCATTTTCTGAGGCTGCAAGGTGGTGGTCAGCACTCCAGAACTCTGGTCTTCTCCCGCAGGCTCCTTGTTCCCAGCTCTCTCCCCTTGAAACAACTGTTGGGGAAGAGTTAGAGGGGTGGGAGTGGTGTCTCCTTGACCCCTTCTTCTCTCCAGGCTGCTTGGAAGCCTGGCAGCCATCACTTTGTGTCTGAGGGCACAGTTTCAAGTCTGTCCCACAGAGGGCCTTCTGTCCTCAGGGAGGGTCACCAGATCTTATCTCCCTTCAATCCTCAGCCGTTACCAGAGTTGGAACTCCCCAGATCAGATGCAGGAGACCAGTCTCCACCACCCCACCTTGGGAACTTCATTCCCTTCCCATCTCAGTTTTCCCTTCCTATGAAATGGGCACTTTAGCTGTTCTTGTCTGCCTCCCACATTAAAGGGTAGTAGTTTGTATAGCAGCATTTTGAGAAAGACAGGCATATTGCATACATGAATGAGGTATGTTAACAGGCCTGTGTATTCACATCCCCATTTCACAGGGGAGAAAATGCGTCTCAGTTGTGCCAAGTCAAGTGCTCAGAGATACACAGCTAATAAGTAGCAGGGCGAGAATTGCTTCCTGTTAGCGTTCGTTACTGTTAGCATCGATCAACTGAGAAAGAAGAGCTCTCAGTGGACGATGGACGGAAAGGGTGGGGAGCAATGTTAAACATGTGCTTGCACCGTCGCCACATGGCTCAGCTCTGTCTCAAGAACCAGATCAGCCGTAACCCTCAAACCCGCAGAACGTGGGGGCCACCAGGGACCTTACACGTCTCGCTGGGCTTAGCAACCCAAGTTTGCAGTTGGGAAAACTAAGGCCCAGAGGGAGGAGGAAGCTTGCTTAGCATCACAGAGCTCCGCTGGGTGGGCCAAGACGAAGTGGGGTGCTTCAAGCTCCCCATCAAGGGTTTTGCATGCCACCCCTCCTCCCTGACTGGATGGTGCCCCACTGCACCTGCATTTGCCATCTCTAGAACTTTTCCTTCTGCCCTGGGGCCTTGAGACCCCCACCATGGTCTCACCTCTCCCTGCCTCCTGGGTGCAACTGTGTGGGCCACAGGGTGGTTTATAGACGCGGGGGACATAATTGAGTTGTCTGGGAATAGCTCTGTTTTATGGCTGTGACAATGACGGTCTTTAAGGAAGTGCATTAAATCAATAGAAGTCTCGTTGTCCTCCCCTATAAATAACGTGACACATCATTAAGCAGGGCAATAAGCTTCAGGACTTTGAAGTAATACAATTAGGTTATGTTTATAAAAAGCTTCGCTCACTGTGGCCGCCGAACTAACTCGCCTCGGCCCGCGTTTGGGGCCTGGGACAGCAGTCTCATGCTAAGTGCCACGTCAGCTGCTTTCAGGCCTTGGACTGTTGCACTCCAGAAAATCCCACTCCTCATACAGTGAATGCATGGACTCTGTTGCAAGTCAGATGGTTTGGGGGCAGAGAGGAGGCCTAAAAGGGCATCTGGGGGCCCCTTTAAGACTCTAGAGTCTTCGGGTTTGCCACAGACTTGCTGGGAACCCTTGGTGTGGTAGTTTTTCTCTCTGGGCTGCCCGTGCTGAGGCGCTTTTCCTTCTTCTATCATCCAGGCTTGCCCCTAAGAAGAGCACAGGAACATGCTGAGGCCACCTTAACACTAACGTGTGCGTTTCTCTCTCTGTCCACCTGCTGTGATCTAGATGGCACATTAAACACGATGGTTTTATTTTTTAAATGTGGGAGTGATGTTTGCGAGTGGGAGGCTGAGAAGCCGGGGATTCCACCCCCCACACCCCAAAGAATTGAAAGAACTCTGGGCTCAGAGATAGCAGGTAACCTTTCTCTCCCCAGCCATCAGCTCTGTGTCATGGGCACTTGCTAAACAAGGGCTCCCTGGGAAGCAGGTCAGGGTGGATCTGGGTTTGGAAGCTGATCACTCTGGCGGCAGAGCTGTGGGAAGAGGAGAGCTAGTGTGGGGCCGAGCCGGACAGACAGGCTTGCAACCCTCCTGCTGGGTAACCGCGGGCAAGTAACTGCTACGTTTCGGTGCCCCCACTTGTTAAATGAGAGATAGTAATTCCCTTGTGGGGCTGTTGGGAAAATGAAATGAGATAATATAGGTAAAATGTCTGGCATAGAGTAAGCACATGAAAAACTGTAGCTTAAAATAAAGCGAAACGTGTGGGCGTCAGCTGAGGATTTCTGGTCCTGGCCACAACTCCTGGCTCACGTGTAAACTCAGCCCTTACTTCCCCCTGTGATGCACCTGTATGACCATAATAGGACAATCCCTGCAAATATCCTTCCAACCAGAGAGTGTAGGGGTGGAGGGGTTCCTGGAGTCTTTGAAATCTATGGTTAGCTCCACATGATGGCTTGTCCTTGGCTGGAAAGACCAAGGCTGGAAGAGAAGGTCAAGAAAAAAGACCCAATAGGGCATGGGTATTGAGCACAGACATGAGTAGAGCACTTCACAGAGTATGGTTCCACTGGTTCTCCCACGTACCCCCGGAGGCAGAGAAAGCAAGGATACTACTCACCCCTTATCTTAAAGAAGGGGAACCTGGAGCGTAGAGAAGAAAAGGGGCTTGTCAGGGCCACACAGTTTGTTAGTGAATGAGATGGTGTTTGAATTCCAACCTGAGTACAGTGTTCCCTAGATCTTGTGTCCCCAGAAATTACAAATAAATGCCCCAGCCTTTCCAGATTTACTAATCATGGGGCTCTGGCTCCTGCTGTGACACAAAGCAGCCACTGGAAATCACTGGAAAGCCCAGGGGGTTGGGGTGAATGTGCCTGATTAAAATATCCTCATGAGAGGTTCATTTTATTCCCCTAAGTGCTTCTAAGTGTGCATTCCACAGGGAGAAAAAAGTCACATTTATCATGCATTAATTCTTTAATTCACTAATACCCACATGTTCCTTCTTGGCAGACCTCACACCAGGTGCTAGGGGCACCGCAGTAGACAAGATGTGGGCACTGTCCCCTGTTGTTCATCACCAGTCTGTCTTAGACTTTCTACATTTTACCATTTTTGTTGTAGACTTTTTTTTTTTTTTTTTAATTCACTGGTAAATAGCTGGAAAGAGGGAGGGACTGACACATGGTAAAGAACCCAGTCACTATCATGTGATGGCCCATACCTTTACTTTCATGTGCCAGTTTTGATCCGTTAGGGAGTAGCTTGTCTAGGCCACTGTATGGAGCTCATTGAAGTCATTGGCCAAGAACATTATGATCAGTTAACAACATCTGCTGTGATGCAGGGCGCGGCAGGGGGTGGTCTATGTATTGCTCTCCCTGCAGTAGGGCAAAGTGAATGCTAAAGTAACAGACCCACCTTGTGACACTGATTCCAGAGGGGGACCGGGTATGCCAAGCAGGACTAGGAAGATCTAGGCAGGGAGGTGGGGCTTTCTACCACCAAGTGGGTCTGCTCAGCATTTCACCGGTCTGGAGGGGACCAGAGCACCGAACAGGCTAATTAGATGGTGCCTGTCAGAAGCCAGGAAGAGCTGGACCTTAGAAGGCAACCAGAGTAGCCAAAATCATCGCTGGACCCTCCAGGCCCAGGCAGGCTTAGTGTGGAAGCTGCTTAGCCTGTCCGTTTCCTTTGACCTTCACCTCTCCTCCCAGGTGGTGCCCCAAGGACCACATGGAGTTTTGAGTCTCTTGCCTCAGCTCACTTTTCACTAAATACTGCTGTGGTCTTGATATGTGTGTATTTTAAAAAACTACCTTTCTCCCAATTGGGCCTCCATTTCACTCCTTGACTTGATATTCACATATTCTGCTTAGCTGTGACCTTGATACATGAGACTTTTATCATGATTAAGAACTCTCTCTATGAAGTTATCTATCCCCTGGCTACCTTGGATAAAGACTTCCTCATTCGGAGATAAAGCAGAGGTTTTGCAATCAGATGGGACTCTGGTTCAAATGCAAGCTCTACCTCTTACCAACTGTGTGTTCTTGGGCAAATTGATTCACTCTCTAGATCAGTTTCCTCATATGCAGAACACAGGCTCCCATGAAAGCATAGCGTATCGATGGACTCATCTAGCACTGAGCTGGGCACCTAATTATCATCTTGACCCAACCCATTCCTTCCCCACCATAGTTGCCATGTCTGCTCAGGTAACTGCGTTCGTGTGTGTGTGTGTGTGTGTGTGTGTGTGTGTGTGTACGTGCGCATGTGCACACGCGTGTGTGAAAGAGAGACAGAGACAGACCAACTGAAGGAGGTAGGAGGAGTCAGAAAAAAAGAGAGATAGGCAAAGGCAAACCAAGATACACACACACACAGATACCCAAAGGAGAGACCAAGAAAGTGTAGAAGAGAAAATTTATGCAATTAATATGACTTTTCCAAGTTTATAGACTCTGTGACCCTGTGAAAGGACATTTTCCAGTGAAGGTTATACTGCTCTTGAGTTAAGATTGGGATAGTCCATGGTATAGAGATGTCCTCACAGATAAATGTCTGGTGCCACCTTTAAAAGATGTTTTATCTCTATTATAATTTCCCAAGACTGTCCAAGGGAATGAATTTCTGCATTTCCATTTGAATTACAATGCACTTTTGAATGTCAGCTGAGGCATTCCTAGACTCCTCTTTAAAGGAGTTTTGGCTGTTTGAAAGGCAGCCCAGGGTTTGAGGTGGGGGGGGAGGAGAAGGGAAAGAAAGTCAAATGTCACCTCCTTTTGTGAGGACAGTTGTGGCCAAGGGGCTGATGCGGGCTGGAGAACTCTCTGGGGCTTTCAGTTTCCTGAGGGAGCTTGCTTCAAAGACAGCAAC